TGTAAAGGTGATGACCCGGAAATATGTTGTCCACTAAAAAGAGATTTTTGTTTTTAATGTGAAAAACTGAATAAAATTTGTTTAAAAAAAAGAGACAGAAGGATCTTGATAGACTTGAACATTCAGTGCTATCTAACAAAATGAAATTCAGTGGTGAAAAAAGTAAGGTTCTACATTTAGGCAAGACGAACAAAATGCACAGGTACAGTATACGTGGTACCTTGCTCAACTGACTGTGAGAGGAATCTTGGACTCCTAATGGACAATCACTTAAATATGAGCCAGCAGTGTGCTGCAGCTGCCAAAAAAGCCAACACAGTTGTAGGCTGCATAAACAGAGGGATAGAATCAAGATCATGTGAAGTGTTAATACCACTTTATAATGCCTTGATAAAGCCACACTTGGAATACTGCATCCAATTTTGGTTGCCACAGTGTAAAAGATGTGAGACTCTAGAAAGAGTACAGAGAAGAACAACAAAGGTGATTAGGGGTCTGGAGGCTGAAACATATAAAGAATGGTTGCTGGAACTGAATATGTCTAGTCTTATAAAAAGAAGGATTAGGGGTGACATGATACCAGTGTTCTGATATCTCAGAGGCTGCCACAAAGAAGAAGGAGTCACACTATTCTCCAAAGCACCTGTAGGTAGAACAAGAAGCAATGGGTGGAAACTAATCAAGGAGAGAAGCAACTTAGAACTAAGGAGAAATTTATTGACAGTTATAACAATTAATCAGTGGAACAACTTGCCTCCAGAAGTTGTAAATGCTCCAACTCTGGAAGTTTTTAAGAGATTAGCTAACCATTTGTCTGAAGTGATGTAGGGTTTCCTGCCTAAGCAGAGGGTTGGACTAGAAGACCTCCAAGGTCCTTTACAACTCTTTTATTGTATTCTATTCTTCCAAAAGCCAATTATTCAGAATTTTATTTCTATTATTTGTACTTTAGGTGCTACTCTATCTGATGGCTTTTCTATCTGATGACTTTACAAACTCATGTGATGTTTGTAATTGTTTGAATCAGTGTTTCTCAACCTTAGCAACTTTAAGAGGACTTCAACTCCCAGAATTCCCCAGCTAGCATGAAAAACACTGGTTTTCATAAATGCTGGTTAATTATAGCTCTGCAAGGCAATTGAGAGTTCAGACTCAAACATTTTTGTGTGCATACGTAAAGGTGAAGTAGATGCTCTGCTTGGCTAGAACCGCTGTAACAAAAGACACACCTATCCACACCTACTTTGTGCAACTCCTCATTCCAGTCTTCCTTGTCCGACTGGTCTATGCAGTTTGATAAAGTTTCAAGTACTCTTTGATATCCCAAACCACACATAACTGCTACTATACTTTTATAGAAAAATTAGTGTAATCCGATCTACCACAATCATAATGTAGTTATTTGCTAACTTTTTAGTAACTTTTTGTATCTTCACTTTGAATGGATGTATGGTGGCAAAGGACTTCATTATAAGACTTTTGTCACTGTATTTCCATTAAAAGTGAAGTCCCAGCACCCTCACCCCACTTCCTTTTCAAGCAGATCCTGAGATATTCTCATCCTTGCTATCCCAATACTGTACCATTTTAAAGCTTATACAGAGGAAAGATTTTATATTAGAGTAATTATTGAGGGAAACATGGGATATACAACCAGGCAATGCTTAAGAACTTTCCTACCTGCTCACACAATTTTAAAATGCAAGCTTTTCCTTCTTCCTGCCCCCCAGATTATCTCTAGAGGTTGGCTTGTCATCCCTGTGTTCTACCTTTGATTCCCCACCCCTCTTTTATATATAAGGTGTTTTTCAGTCTCTTTTTTTTCCTGCTGAATATAAAACAAAGGCAATCAATAACATTCCAAAACTGATTCAGAACTTTTTAAGGCAAAGAAAAGAGCATGGGCAGAGCCTACATTGAGCTCAATCTTCCCTACAAAGCCTGCAGGTTTCACTGTCCTGTTAGCCCCTCCTGAGTGTACATAGCTACTCTTAAATACATAGCTACTCTTAAATAGCTGAGAAAATCAGGACACAGGAAGTCAAGAATGGATGAATACCAAATTAACGTAGACTGGATGTAAACGTATATGAACAATACAAAGGAAACCTGTTGAGGAGGTTTAGTCATATTCAGATACTGAATCCAGAAAACTAGGAACAAGCAGAGTGTGAGTTCTAGTCCTACCTGGAGCATGAAATCCACCTGGGTGACTTTGAGCAGAGACTGTCTCTTAACTCAAGCTCACTTACAGGGTTGTTGTATGGGGTAAATGGGAGAGAAGGCGCGCATTAAGTATGTTTGCATACTTCAACACACACGCACACACACACACACACACACACACACACACACACACAGGAATGGGAATAATGAGAAAATTACTGTTTTATGATATTGGGGAAATCCTGAAAAAAATCAGTGAGATATTTCAAGAACAAGAAGTTTCATACAAATCTGAAGGGATATGATAAAAGCAAAGATGGTTTGGAAAGAAAAAGAGCAGGGAGTTAGAGAATGGCATTGATGTGAACAAAGTTTAGTTATGTATTCTTTTCTTATCTCATTTTTTTTTTGCCTACCAGCTTTCTTCTGAGCTCTGCAGAATGTTTTTTGTGCTTTGCCTAATGCAGCTCTCAAATGGAGTAACTTGATGGATCTGCCTGAATGAACACTACATTAGTGATTACTGAATTATACTTTATTGATATTCTCTTCAATGGAATTTAATTTCTTTAATTTCTTTGTCTAAGGAATATGCGATTGTTGAACTCCATATGTGCTCTGGTATGTATGTTTAAATATAATATTTAATATGCCAGTTTCTCTTGGGAGACTTCCTGCAGAGCAATCTATAGAATAAATAGTAGGGATATCTGTTGGAAGGGTATGCAATTTTGGGGGGCAGCTGTGTATTATTTTATATTAAAGGGGTTTACGAAGCTGTGCATTCCAAAATGAACCCCCTCTGAGAGAGATGGATAGTTAAATAAAAGGTGGGTGAGGGCAGAGAAAAGCTATATTTTAATTATAGTTAAATGCCTTAGTATGCACACAAGTAATCATCATATGCTTGTATTATGATAGGTTTGCATCCAAAACATTAGGGAATGCACATATTATGTATCCTAGATCTAGGTTAAAGAAAGCTTTGGAAACAATTCTGCTATTTGAATTTATAAATAGTAGCATAAATTTCCTTACTGCTGTATTCATTCCCAAATCCTCAAAAGCCGGGCATTTCTGCTTGGGAATTCTGTATTTGAAATATGATTTAGAAAATGAAAACGGTGAAAGAATGGATGTGCCTGCCTATTTGTACCATATTTATAGCATTATTAGCCTTGACATCTTCGGACTTGAAATGCTAAGAACTAGCATGAAAACTCCCAAATTTTCCTGATTGGCTTTTTCTGCAGCAATAAACTCTCCTCAGTTTCACTCCAAATAAGGGAGAAGTATAGCGCAAGCAGTAAAATTCCTCCCAAACCTGGTGTTTTCCATACATCCTCAACCGATTCTGAAGAGATACAAAACAAGAAAAACAAGATAAATTCACTCTAAGTTCTTTTTGCTTGTGCTACTGAGGGGAGCTGTATGGAAATAAATGTTCTTTTCAGTAGGAAAGAAGCATTACTTCTTAAAACAAACAAATAAAAATGTGTGTAGCACTATTAATACCAGAAATAAATTACCACAGCTATTTGGTGGCACTGCTGGTGTGGAAACACAACTCGCTGCATTGTGAATAGAATTAAGTGTGCTCTGCTGTTTCCTAGACAGACATTGAATTTCTAATTTCAGTACAGATAATTCAACCTCTTTAGAACTGCATGGAAACACACACTCCCATTCATACTGTCTATTAATTTTGGATAACATTTCCAATAATTCCTATATTTCCCTATGAATAGCATAATTACTGACAGTAGAGGTAGTCCTCGACTTACAATCATTCATTTAAAGACTGTTTGAAGTTACAATGGCATTGAAAAAAATTGATTTATGACCGTTTTTCACACTTACTACCATTGCAGCATCTCCATGGTCAAGTGATCAAAATTAGGATACTTGGCAATGGCATGTATTTATGATGGTTGCAGTCAGGGGTAGGTTTCTTCAGGGGTTCTGTCCACCTCTGTAGAACCGGTAGCTCTGAAGAGCAGCAGACATAGAACCTGTTCTATGTCTGCTGATGTTTTTGCCCACCTGAGCTCTTACTTGATCTTTATTTCCTGATTTTTCAACTTCAGCTACAAAGGAGCCACAGCTGCAGTTAAAAAAACAAGAAAAGAGGGCAGGGACGCTGGTAAATACCGAACCAGTATCCCACCCCTGGTTGCAGTGTTGTGAGATTCTGAGAAGCAAAATCAATGGGGAAGCCAGATTCACTTAACAACTGTGTTACTACCATAACACCTGCAGTGATTCACTTAACAACTGTGGAAGAAACCTCATAAAATGGGGCAAATTTTACCTAACAAGTGTCTTGCTTAACAACAGAAATTTTGGGCTCAAGCAAAACCTCAAATTCAAACAATATTTCAAAATTATTAGATCTTTACTCAGACACCCTGAATAGTTTTGTCTTGTATCTGCAAGGGAAAAAAGGATTTATACCTATCTCTAATCTAATTGTGTGTATGGACATTTGATGGTGTGAGGATTTAGCGAAAGGCATCTTGATGAAGGGAGGGAGCCAATGTATAAATTTGGAATTTCATAATTTTAGGTTCGTGCTTCCCATTCAACAGAGGCACAATGGAGAGATAACCTGGAGAGAGTTTGATCTGATGTTGCCAGATCTAATTGTGAACCTTCCTTTCTTGAATACTCGGGATCCCCATTCCCATTCAAGCCCTAAATATGGATCAGGCCAAATGTCCTTCGGCCCAGCGCCGTGTTTCCACAAAGGTCAGAGTAGGATGTCCAGGTGGTCGTGGTATAGTTTCCTTAAGCTTTCTGAACAGGGGGACTCTATTGAGTGGCTGTAAAGGGCAGCCCCTAACTAACAATCTCCGCAGAATCGCGAGGCGGCCGCAGGGTGACTCTTCCCGGGCCTCCATTCGCACCCAGCCAACTCCTGCCGTCCCCGGTGTGACCGATGACTAAGAGCAACGCGCTGCGCGGAGATGATCATGGGCGGAGAAGGGACAGGTCTGAGCAGAGTCCGACGGTGCTGCTGGGCGGGAGAGGAAGGAGGCGCCCCCCGGGGGTAGGAGGGGAGCGGGGAACCGCCAGAGAACCCGAGCGGGGAACGGCGCAGCTCAGCCTCCCCGCCCAGACACCGGGCCGGGAGCCGCACTAGCTCGAAGGCTCGGCCGCGCCGCCTTCCGTTGGCTCGCCCGGGAGGCGCGCCCAGTCCGGGCTGCTCTCTCCTCTCCATCCATGCCGCTTTCCCAGGCAGAGGCTCCCTGAGCCGGGCTCCCTCTTTTCTTCCTTTCCGATGTCGGGCCCGCGCAGCGCCTTGCAGGCCTGGTGCCGCCGCCAATGCGAGGGTTACCCGGGTGTGGAGATCCGAGACCTCAGCAGCTCCTTCCGGGATGGCCTGGCCTTTTGCGCCATCCTCCATAGGAACCGGCCTGATTTGCTGTGAGTACCGGGCGACCGCCTCTCGTTCCCCACCCCTTACTCTCCACATACTGGACATGCGGGACTAGGCCCAGCAACCTCGAGCTCGGCTCGACCACCAGCCGCTCGAGGAGGAGCTTCTCTCCAGCTCCCGAGTGGGGGAACCCAGCGCTTTCCTCCTGGGAATTTTGAAGAGGGAGAAAAGATGGGCTACTGGCTAGAAACCCTCGCTGGAGAGAGGCGCCCCCTCCAAGAGACGGGCATGAAGTCGTCTTAAACGAGTACTTAGAGCCTTAGAGAGACCCCCACCCAGCTGTTCATAACCCTCATAGCAAAGGCACCAACTTGCACTCTTTTACTCCATAGCAACTGATCCCAAACAAGGACTGCTTCCAACTATGTAATCAGTAGTGCAGTGCAATTGAAAATTCATTGTGTAAAAAGAGCCTTGTGTGTCTGACATGGGATCTACTCCCTGTAATTCAGACATTGCCTGAAATAGGGCGAATATTCAGTTGTGAATCGTGTAAAACTAGTGTATAAAACTGGTTCCTGATTTTTGGGGCTGAAAATTTGATGAACCCCTTAATAAATGAACCCCATAAATTTGAATCCCTTGATTTCCTTTCTGCTCCAAATCAAACGATAACCAACCAAAATTCAAATTTTAATAATTGTAATCTTGCTTCTCTACAGTAATGAAATGGATGTGCCCACTTTCATGACAAAAATTTTATGAAGCTGAGTTTTATGCTTCTCAGATTTAGCTAAAAGTCAGTTTCAGTCTTCCTTCTTGTTCCTCATCTCTGAGATGGTTTGTTCAAGAAATGGAAATGTCATCCTACTATAGAGTGATATTTTTAACATCACACTCTTTTAGTTCAAGCTGATTGAAAACCTGGCCTGTGTCAAAATAGCCCAGCCTTCAACACAAGAAAAAACAAGTGTAAGACTATTTGTTTATCACATATCTACACCACCCGTCTCATCTAAGAGACTTTCTAAAGCTTTTATGAACCAGACCATAATCAGGGAATACTGTTTGAAGCTCTGTGAAATACCTTTTTGTAGTGTCAGCTCTATGATTCTAACAGACATAGCCAAATAATATATGAGAAGAGTATTAGAACGTCTTCTTTTTGACTATGAAAAAATATGAAATCTTACTTTATGGTTGTACTTTCCTTTTCAGAACTTTTCTCAAATGAAAATTTCCACCCTGCTTTGCTTGATGCTTTTTAGTCTTTTTTGATGTTGCATGGATATATGGATGGGCCATTAGTTTAATTTTCTTATCCTAAAAGAGCTTTCCAGTTTGGAGATAGATATTGGAGTTCTGGTAATAATCATGAATTAGAAACTCAGTTTTAATATTCAACTATTTCACCTAAGCCAAACAATAAAAGGTTTGGTAATATTTTTATTTATTACAGTAAACTTTATTTATTAAAATATAGGTTTCTGCACATTTTGTCAGAAGGTGCCTCTAGGCAGCTTACAACCAGTAAAACATCAGTATGAAACATTAAACATTAAGACAATAAATAGTCATATAATGTTTTATTAAAAATGACAAAGATAAGGAAGAGAGCCAAGTGCACATTGAAGGAGGAGGGGTCTTATCTCAGTCTATTAACCACCTCCTGAATGACCCCCACACACTTTTGTAAATCATTTCACAATTGTAAATACATCCACAAACATTACCTTTTTAACAGCTGTCATGAAATAGTTGGCAGTACATGATTGGATTTGTTTTTTTACAGAATTTCTAATTAGTGCAAATTCAGATGTTTTCAGAAAAGGAATAGATAAATGTTCACTGTCTTAAAAACAGTATAAAATTAATATGTCCCATCCCTGATATTTAACAGAATTATAGTTTTCAAATGTGTTCTTGCCAGCAAATAGTAATGCTTCTCTTTTGTAATGTTATCTTGCAAACTTATGTTGCCATAGTCAAACTACTTTGTTGTCCATGTTGTTTCAGACATGTTTGAAAAAAACACACTGATCTAGACAATATCTACTGAAACTAGCAAAATATGATCCTGTATGTGTCTTATATTTATTTCTGTGTTATATAATGGAGAGGGAGTTAGATGTGCTTATTTACTAGATTTTTAAACCGCTGCAATTGTATGAGTCAATTTATAGAAAATAAATGTTCTACAATAACAATAGGATAATAATTATTACAAATATAACCATAAACAATATCTAACATTTAACATTTAAACTGGAATAATATATAAACAATTCTTACGGTTCATTCCAATTAGTTAAAACCCCTTCAGAAGACCTCTGTTTTAATGTATTGTTTTTTCTAATCAGAATAAGTGCTTGGGTGGAATAATGGGCAGGAAGGTGGGGGCAGGAAGGTCTCCATCCGAAGACGCCTTCATTTTTAGCTCTGGGTAAGCCTGAGCTGCTTTCAAACAATAGGTGTTAATAAATTAACTTATTTATTCTCACGAGACCAGTAAACCAACTTAATGTGGTGAGTTTATGCAAAGAATCAAACTAAATAAATGAATTAAGTTTAAAACTAACCAATTTTGCATAGTGCAAATGGCAGGTCTTTAGCTGGCGGTTAAGTATATTATGTAAATACATTTACTGAGTCTGATCCAATTTAACTCTGGGGAAAAATATTGCAAATAATTATTTGGGGGATATTTGTCTATCCTACATATCAGTTAATACTTCTTCTTCCATCTGCCTATCCCATTATAATGCTATGGTACAATTACAGAATTATAATTGGAAAGCACAGTAGAAATCACCAAATTCAGGCTCTTGTTTAGCGCTGTTCTCTTACAACTGGATAACTTTTTAAAATATGACAAATTAGTAGCAGAAAAACTAAAAGACGATTATAACCATCATCCTCATCTCATTTCTATGCCATCAGTTATCTCGATAAGGTTTATAATTATAATTGGCCATGAGAATTAAGAATAGAAATGTCTTTAGTAAATTTATGATCTATATGGAAGTACTGTGTTAGCAACCTTTTTCATCTTGGCCTTCCAGATACAGTTAAAATTCTTGAATTATTGAAGTACAATACCTGGAGAACATCAGATTGAGGAAAGCTAGATTATTTGTTTTTATCCCACCTTTATTATTTTTATAAATAAGGCAGAGAACAAAGAGATACTTCTTCCTTCTTCCTCCTGCTATTTTCTGTACAACAACAGTTCTGTGAGGTGAGTTAGGTTGAGAGAGAGTTACTGACCCAAAGTAGACTGCTGGCTTTCATGCCTAATGGCAGGAGAACAACTGAAAGTCCCATGGCTTCCAGCCTGGTGCCTTAACCACTAGACCACATTAGTTCTCTATTAGATCATAAATTATATAAATTAGGTATGATATTGATGATTGACTGATAAAGATACTTGGTGATAGTCATTCAATAGTTTTTAAATGAATATGATGGTGTTGAGGGTCTATGAAGCAGCTGTCTAATAAGCACAAGGTCTTTGAAGCAAGTTGTTCCAAAGAGATGAATTCAGCTCAGAGCCAATTAAGCACAAGGTACTGCTCTGAAATATCTCAGCTATGAATTTCTGCTCTTGCAAATGGTCTAAGTAAGCACTTCTTAGTTAACGGTAGTGAATTGCATTGCCAACTTGACAGATAGAGCCTTACAAGGACATGGCATGTTAAGAAATAAGTTTCCAAGGAACAACTAAAGGGAATGTTGAATCATTTTAACTGCTTCAGCATGTCTTGACTTGGAAGCTAGAGGATCAAAGGATAGAAAGAAATGTCAAAAATCACTCCATTGGTAGATCAAAAGAAATCCTGTTTTTACCTAAGGTTTATGTTATCAGAGCCCTTGGTGAACTGGTTGGCATTTTATGACATAATACAAAATGTCGTAAAGGATTTCCTGTAGTCAGCTGCTGATATTTGATTGTGCTATATATAGTTCAACATGGGCTGTTTCAAGGCAGATACATCTCTGAATATCTTCCTGAATTCTTAGGAACTTTTCTAGTATATTAGAAGCTCTGCCTTTGTTGAAGACATTGAAGAATGTGGCAAGGAAATATCTCTGAAACAATGACCTACCAGGTCATGAGCTGTCTAATTATGTTTTAAAGCACTGAGCTCAGAATACTGTTTTCCAATGAGAAGCCTAAATTCCTGTTGGTAATTAAAAAAACCCAAAACATTTTAAAAATGAGTTGTAACAGTTTAGGAATGAGGCTTGATAGGTTGGATCCCTTCTAACCTCTTCAAAATGGCTGTCCAAAAAGACTTATGCCAAATGGGTTGCAGCAAAGGATAATATGATACCAGATGAGGGGTCCCTCCAGTTGGAAGGCATTCAATATGCTATTGAGGAAGAGCTGAGGATTTTTAGATGTACAGTACTGTTGGAAGTTACAATTCCCCTCTCTTCTAAGAAAACATTAGAAGGGGAAGGAAAATTCCCCTAAAAGAAAGGAGAGGTGAAAACACAAGCAGGGACAGCGCCATTAGCTCCCACCTTTGCATGGGACACACATTAGCTAGGATCCTTTCCCATAGAAGTCAAATAGATAGCAAGCTACAAAAAACTTGTGAAAAGCAAACAGCATAACAGGAAACTCAGGATATTGCAACCAGGTGCAACCTGATAGTTACAAAGGATCAGGGAAAAACAGATTGGACTATAAAACAATTACTCCTACCAAGATCCCAGGAAGAGATCCCAATCTCAGAGAGACAGGAATTCAACACACATAAATCAAGGACTTCACTTACAAATCAAAGAACCTGAAGTGTATAAGAGGTTTTCCTACTCACTTATTAGATTAATCCTAGGAACGCTGTGAGATTTCTTCTTATCTTCCTTCCTATTAATAAACTGATTCTGACTTTCAACGTAGCTGACCAAATCATTTTGCATTAAAACCTCCAAGCTGGGAAATTTGAATCCACAAAAGGAAAGAACTTTGCCTTTTTCCTTAAAGGGCAAGGCTTCTTTTTTCCTTTCCTCAGTACTATAGTATCTGTGATGCAGTCAATAGGGCATCTTGTTCCTAATGTTGCTCTGTAGGAAAAGAAACTCTCAGGATGTAAAGACAGAATTATAACGGGATTATGGAACATGCAAAAAGCACAACACAATGAAAGATTAAATGAATCTATGACATATCGGGGGCAGGGTGTGATAGCTGAGTAATTAAAGACACTGAGCTTGTCAACTGCAAAGCTGACAGCCTAAGTTCAAGATCCGAGCCCTACACAATGGGGTGAGTTCCCTTTACTGGCCCCAGCCCCTGCCTACCTAGCAGTTAGAAAACATGCAAATGTGATTAGACAAATAGGTATCACTTTGGTGGAAAGGTAACAGCGTTCTGTACACCTCGGCATATAGTCATGCTGGCTATATGATCAGGAAAGGGGTCTTCGGACAATGCTGGGTCCCTTGGCTAAGAAACGGAGATGAGTACTGCCCCTAAGAGTTGGACACAACTGGACAACTCTACAGGGGAAACCTTTACCTTACCTTTTGTACAGGTTTAATTGAAATGGATTAAAAATTGAGACTTTCAATCTGAAAATCATACTGCTTACCTCTCAGTATATAAAAAACAAAAAAAGGGATGCCACTGTTTTCCTAGTCCAGAAGATATAAAAAGACAGTACCTGGGTACAATACAATGACTAATTTAATATCAAATAGACTCTGTGGACAATCCTTTAATATGGTAGTTATCCAAGTTTATGCTTTAATCGCCGTTGCGGGGGGGGGGAGGAAATTCACATGTTTTCTAGTCAATCTGAAATTAACCGAACGTGTAAGGGCTAGCTCAAACTGGAAGGAGTCTAAGGAGGTATCTTAGAAAGCAGCAAGGACACACCTGGGACTGATATGGTTGCAGAGCATTCTGAGCAGCTGGAAGCAGCAGAGAATGAATTTCTGATCTAGGAACTCCTCCTAGCCCTAAGGCACATAAGGCTCGATGAAGGGCAGAATGGAGAATATCTGAGCAGTTCTTTGACACACAAGGGTGTTTCCACTGGTAATTTCTTGCACCTGGTAGAGGCTCTATTTTAGAACCACTGCTAACAATCAGTCCCTTGTTGGGAACAAGTACCTGACTGCATCTTGTGAAAAACACCCTTTTGCTTTTTCACCATGACCTGCATTTCTATTTTTTGGTTTGTCTTCTGACACTGACTTTGCATCCTTCTCTGGACTAATGAGCTTTGGCTTCTTCCTCAAGCAAACTGCTCAGAGAGGTGAGGACGTGCATTTGAAGTGTGTGATTACACACCCTGTTTGTGCTGCCTGCATTTTCCTTCCCAGTAACAAATAAGCTTTTTCGGTGCTTCTTATTGTTGGAGTCAAGAAAGCCAAAGTGGGAAAGAGAAAAATGTAGTTGAACTATGTAGCCTAGGAGGCTGAAATGAAGCAAAACAATTAATTTGTTCCTGCCAATCCAGATTTGTTTTCATTGCTAGCATATGTTTTGGATGCCCAAAACAACATCTGTATGCATGGACATCACCAGATAGAATACCCAGAAATGGAATTGACTATATCGGTGGTATAAGGAGATGGAAAAACTTAGTTGCAAAGTTGCGGCCAGGGGCTGACCATGGAACAAGTCATGAACTATTCATGAGTAAATTCTAAGTCAAGCTAATGTTAGGAAAACAGAGCCAAACAGTTTCCCAAAATGATATTGAATACACCCACACCCACACCCAAGGAATAATTTTGATGTCCTGAACTTTATTGATAGAGAGCTGGAGGAATTATATAGTGAAACCAAAAAAGTTATTAAGGATGAATATGAAAGCAGATTGCCAAACATCAAGAAAAAGGAAAAAAAATAAAAATAAAAAAATGAAAAAGTAAAATAGATGTTGGAACAAATAATGGAAATTGCTAAGAGAAGAGAAGCCAAAGCTAAGAAAAAAATCTCATGAAAGAGATTTCAGAAGGATTTCAGAAAGCTGTTAACAGAGACAAAAGTAATATTACATTGATATTGAAGATTAAAGCAAACATGGAAAAGTAGGGAAGGATTTCCAAAATATCTCTAAACACAGAAGCTGGTTCCATTATTAATTAGTATGTCATTGGTTGGGTAGTACCTTATTCCAAAAAGTTCAAATAGGGATGGAAGGAATATATTGAACTTCTGCACAGTAAAGATGTTAGCATCTGAGATATCTTAGAAGATCTTCCATACTTTACAAGAGCTTTTGGTACTAAAAGATGAATTTGGATAAGGACTCCAATAATTATCAAGTGGAAGACTACAGGAATTGATGGAGTGGCTATAGAAGTATGGATTGCAGCAGAAAAAAAATCAGAAAGATAATAACCAAGCTATGCCACAAATTTGAGAAATGAAACAATGTCCAAAAAAATTAGAAGAGGTATGTCTATATACCAAAGCCAAAGCAAGGACATTTAACAAATTATGCAAAATATCACATAATATCTTAGGATCATCCAACACAAATTAAAGCCCTACATAGAAGGAGAGATACCAGACATTCAAAATGACTTTAGAAAAGGTTAGGGAACCCAGACATGATTACTGATGCATACTGAATAATTGAGAAGGCCAAAGGTTCCTAGTGATGTATTCTTAGGTTGGTTGTTATTTCTTGGATGCCATAGATTTTATTTTCTTGTTTTAGTTTTAATCTTTGCATACTGTCTAGAGTCACTGTTGTGAGATGGGCAGCTGTATAAATTATACAAAAAAAGATTATTTTCTAAAGTAAACAATGTGTTTTGTTATTTGTAGATTTTTTTTTTAAAACAAGTTTTATTGGTTTGATTTTTTGATTGTGTCTATCGTATCACAGTATGGAATGTCCTTAAAAATAGGAAACCTAGGACATCTCATTGTCCTTAAGCAAAAGTTACACACAGGTAGGAAGCTACAGTCTGGATGGAATATGATGAAAGAGACTCGCCCCAAGTTGACAAGAGTGAGGTAGGACTTTCTCCTCCTTTATTCAACCTCAGGATGGAATATATATTGAAGAGGGTTGCATTTGAAGAAGATGAGCATAGTTTTAAAATTGGAGAAAGAAAAAGCAATACCTGTGCTATAGTGATTATGTTATTTTGATAGCTATAAATGCCAATTATTTGGAAATCTAATAATGAAAGTCAAGGAGCATGAGGAAAAAATGAATAAGATTAAATATAAAGAAGGCCCAATAATGACAACAGGTACAACAACCAACCTTAGGATTGATAATGCATTGACGTGGTCGACAGTTTTTGCCTTTTGGGTTTGACTAATATCAACTGTAAATGAAATATCAAAAATATTCTGTGGACTAGTACTTGGTATAGGAGAGGTGAAGACCTTGGATATATATACACATGCCTTGACAACCTGTATCTAAGAAGATCAGAATCTGTAAAAGAATTCAGAGATGACTTTGGATTAAAATGAAAGAACCAGGCTAGAGCTCTTACTTGAGACAAATGACAGCTGAAATTATACCTTTGAACTTATGGTGCAAAGATTCAGCTGTCTTGCAAAGTCCATGATGCAGGGAAATTTGAAAGGAAAAAGAGGGACAACTACAGTAATAGATGGTGATGGACTTAATTACACTGGCAAACTATGCTTTGTCAGAAGACCTGAAAGGCCGGATCATCTTAGAGAAAGTATATCTGATTACTAGGAGTTAACATGGACTTGAAAATACATAATAAAGTCCATCAGCAAGTACTGCTGACTCTAAAGGCAGAATAGTATCAAATTATACCAAAGTCCAATATTGAGGCTAATTTCTGGGTTCATAAATGAAGCTTATGGAGATGAATATTTTTACCCCGAGAGTTATTAAGCTCTGCTATGCAACAGTAAGAATGGTACAGGTTCTGCAGTGTTGTGTGTAATCTTTATTAGTAGATCTTGCCTCAAATTTAAATTGTTCTAAATTTCCATACTGAGTAACCATAAATAAAAAGATAAACAAATATATGATATGAGTGGTAAATAACCATAAAACTCACTTCCAACTATATGTGCAGTTATTATTTGATTTTCAGGTCCTGTTGCTCTCATTGTATAGCAAAATAGGATTTAATCAGCTTTCCCCTCTTCAAATTTGTTTAGGAATTATTAAACGAGCCACCTGAGACATGTTAGTGCATTCTGTGTGTATTGTAAAAACATATCTGCCATCTGCAACAACAACAAAAATGTACTGATCCCGGACTTGTATTGTGCTTTTCTTAAATAAATACATTAAATAAAAAATACATTGGTCAAGAATCATAGCTATAACACTTGACTACTATTAAGTGTTATACCTATGATTTTTTATGAATGTACTGTATTTCTTTTCCTTTTATGAACACTGAGAGCATTTGCACCAAAACAAATTCCTTGTGTGTCCAATCACACTTGGCCAATAAAGAATTCTTTTCTATTCTAAATTTAGTTTCACTGTCTCTTGAATTTAGCTTCACTGTCAGCACAGTTTTCAATAACTATTCACACTTTCAGCAAATTTCTCACATAGTGGAAACATGTGCAAGGAAACTGTGTTGAGAAAATGGAGTGTTTCCATGAAAAATGGTTTTGAACCTAGATTTCAGGTGAACCCATTGGGACATATTTTGGCAAGTTGCAAAGAAAGAGCTGTAAAGCTGTTCCTTTGCTTATCAGAATGCTTTTTATGCTAGATCTCTTTTTTTAAAGGCACTTCTATTGGGATTGTTTTAAAGTTACAGTTTCCTTCCACAATTTAAAGCTTTCTTGTTCAACTGTAATATCAAAGAATGAACTACAAAGATTCTGTTCTCTGAAAATGTTACTAGTGGTAAAAGTGGAAATACTGCAACACTGAATTGTATAATCTAATGTACTTGTTCTATGACAATCTCTTTTCTTTTCATTTTGCAGGGACTTTACTTCCCTGTCCAAAGAAAATGTATATGAGAACAATCGTTTGGTAAGTTCTGGCTTCTGTCTTCATTGCAATTATACTTCATCCTGCTTGCTTTTTAGTCCCTTTTTCCAACTGTAGTTGATATGTCTGCTATGAAAATCAGCACACATAGATCAACTTGAAATGCATGTGCTGGTTGCATTAAATGAGTGTCATGCATGCTATGGATGGATGACTAGAAGCCTGCTGGTGAACAAAACTGATTTTTGTTAGGATGAACTCAGCTTTGTCTGACAGGGCGTTATCCAGATGTGTTGATTTATAATGCTCCATATTTCTGGATAGCATGACTATTAACAAGTTCTAAACTTGTAAATACCAATGCATCTGGAAATCATCAAGTTTGGGAAAGCTGCAGCAAAGACATTTGTTGAAGATATAAAGACAAGAGAAATAGAATAAAATACCAGTTCTGAAAATCGGGGTGGGGGGGTGGGGTGGGATTTCAGTGTCTCACTTTCTGAGTTATGTATTTTCACATTTTTATCAATATTCATTAAGTGCAGCCTTTTCCAATATGGTATCTCTTGCAGTGACAGCAGCTGATTGACTTTGTCTTGGCCCAGAAATTGTCTGGTTAGTATCTGAATGGGAATTTTCAGAGCTATGGGCTTGACTGGGAAGTTGAAAAAACTCTGAGAAAAAAACAATGGCAACACAGTTCCATATTGCCAACAAAAGAACTACATGGATATCAGAGGTGGTATTCAGCAGGTTGTGACCAATTCTGGAAGAACTGGTAGCAGAAATGTTGAGTAGTTCAGAGAACCGGCAAATACAACCTCTGACTGGAGATTTTACAGTATCCTTCCCCTGCCATGCCCACAGAATCAGCAGTAAAAAAAAATTGAATCCCACCACTGATAGATATGTGTCTGAAGTCCACTTGAAGCTAAGCTCAACTTGAAAAGTGTTTATGTTTTCCCAACCTGGTGCCCTTAGCTGGCTGTGCTTGGTGGAAGTTGAAAACCAATACTTAAATTGGCTTATTCTTGTTGATTTAAATTTCTTTAATTTCTTATGCAAGCCTATCTCTAACTTTCACTATCACAACTTTTCTAGAAGTTGGTATCAGGGAAGAGAGATTAGGATGCTGATAAGTTTTCTGACAAAACATTAGTAGATAGGCCAAGATAAATCTCATCTCTAATCCAGTTCTGCTAGCAAAGTTCTTCAGTAGTTAGATTTTTTTCCTTGTGAAAAGTAACATATTTGCATTCTAAAGGTGTTTAATTCCATGTACAGTATTACTGTAGTAGATTTCATATTTGTACCGCGAACTTGGCAGATGTAAGTGTGCAATCCAGTATCCGGGCTTGTTGTGACAGTGAAAGAACGTGCTTAGATTTTGCTTCTGTGGCCAGTGTAAATTATCCAATGACTGTAAATAATAATCTACACTAGGAAAACAGTGCTGATGTAATTGTAAAGTTCTGACTAACAATAGACTAGTTGAGTCTTTGTTGGTTTTAGTCTGAGGGGAAATGAGCAAGGACACAATATTAGCACTTTTTGAATGTATAGATATTGATGCACATTTTTAAAGACTCCAGTTAAGATACTGTTTGTTTTTGCATGGATTATATGCATCTCTTTTTAGGTTCTTTTAAAAATAATGCACTTCTTGCTAGTTTGTTTACAGTTTAGTGCTGTTATTCTTGATATATTGTATGCATTGCTTTAGAAAAAGATTAAAAATATCTGTAATTATAAATTACAAATACTTTCCATTTTGACTTGTGCATAAAAGCAACTAAGCTTTGGCATTCTTAGATTAAGGAACATCGATTGATCCATCCAGTTAGACTTTGGTTCAGCTGGGAATTGGTCAAGAGTCCAACCTTTCATCTAATGTAATGGATTATACAGTATAAGAAGCAAATCTGCATCATCATTAATCTCTTTTATTTCTGCTTCACTCATTGTCCCTGGTAATTGCTTATGACAAGAAATACTTGCCTTGGTAATTTCATTTGTCCATTAGGATGGTATCACCATAACTTCTTTTTAATTAAAGCATATTCAGTTGTATAATATTTTCTAAAAGCAATTTTTTGTGTGCTCAATATGGAGGACGATTGAGCAGGAATTTTAATGCTGGAAAAGTACATGGGAAAAACATACTGTCTTCCATCACTTTTTATATGTTTGTCTGTTTTATGTTTATTACCTTTTCATTCATTCATTTATTGCTTTTGTGTTCCATCAAGGCAATGTTTGTCATTTACTGTCTCCATTTTATTTATGCCAAAATATGTCATGTCAGGCTGAGAGCTGATGATTTGCTTCGTAGCTAAATAGGAATTTGAAGCTGAGTTGTCTTAATCATAGGTGAATCAATAGTTGATATACCAACTATTATATCATTATTGTCTTTTTAATTAAGGGCCAGTTTGTTTCACTCTGACTATAGCCAAACATATGTGGAAACAGAAATACTATCCATGAACAATTCTCTGATATGAAGGGACTCAAACAATGGTATAAGACCTAGGATTATGTAGACCACGGATCTTCAAACTTGGCAGCTTTAAGACTTACGGACTTCAACTCCCAGAATTCCTCCTCCAGTCATGTTAGCTCAGGAATTCTGGGAGTTGAAGTCCACAAGTCCTATACTTGCCAAGTTTGAAGACCCTTGATGTAGACCATCCCACTCTCAAACACAGACCATTCTCAATATTGCACAAAGTTATGGTCCTAACACGGAAGGTTTAACTACATAACAGGCCATTTTGAGTATTCTGGAATAACATGGCCTGTTCCTTGCTTACTAACAGGCAAAGTGGAAGCTCCTCTCTTATACTGAAGTTATTTTTAAGATGATAAATCAGTGATGATTTACAGGCTTGTGAGTCTTATTTTACCTATGAATAACATCCCTAATGTGATGGACAAAATTAAGTTTGATTTAATTTAAGTGTAGTGAAAATTAATTCAAATTAATTCAATTAAATATAATCAGTATTCTCATATCTTTTTTATGTTAAATGGCTGCCTTGACATTTTTCTCTTCCTTTGTTTTCACCTCATATTGTTCCACTAGAGCAGGGATCAATTGGCTGAGGAATTCTGGGAATTGAAGTCCACAAGTGTTAAAATTGTCAAGTTTGGGGTTCCTTGCACTAGAGTCTGCCTCTGTGTCAGCTTCCATCAACTAACTATTCTCTCCTGGTTGCTTTGACAGGCATTTGAAGTGGCTGAACAAGAACTGGGGATCCCTGCCTTGTTGGATCCCAATGATATGGTCTCCATGAGAGTTCCTGACTGCCTCAGCATCATGACATACGTGTCCCAGTATTACAACCATTTTAACAACCCTACTCAAGGTGAGAGCTTCAACAGGTCATGTATATGAGATATAATTATATATTGAGGAGGAAGAGTTCCTTCATTTCCTTTGATGTGGCAGAACTAGTTTCCTAATCCTTGCTAGAGCCATAATGTTATTTGCCAATGATAAATAGAATAGAATAGAAATAGAAATGGAATAGAATAGAATAATAGAATGGAATGGAATGGAAGAATAGAATAGAATAGAATAGAATAGAATAGAATAGAATAGAATAG